TTGTTTTAAAAATTATTAAATATTTACCATTAATATTTTATTCAATTACTCTCAATTACTTTAATATTTTATTCAATTCCTCTCAATTACTCGTTTACCTACCATTCACAATAAAATACAATTTCTCTTTCGTATTCTTCTCAATTCTTCTATTTATCACTTTTCTTTTCTTCTTAATTACTTTTCTCTCGTTTCTTATCATTTCTTCTTTGTAACACCAGTGACGCTCCTTATCTCTCGCTCGCTCGCCGATCTCTTACCCTCGATTTGTGTGTTGCTTTCCGATGGCCGACGAAGATTTCCAATCTCGCGTTGCGAAAATCTTCGGATCTCTCGCCTTCTCTCGTTCCAATTCTTCTACCGTATCCACGTCTTCTGCTCCGGCGTCGCGGCAGCAATCGGGCTCGGTTTGGTCTCTCTCCGATTCAGACGTGGAGAAGCGTGAGTGGAAGCGAGAACAGCTGGCTTCGTACGATAGGGAAGAGATGCCTTGTGCGTCGTCGTTCGACGAGTTATTGAGACAACAGAGGATCTCGACCAATGGTCGGAAGCCGTGCGACGGTGATCTCGAAGATCTTGATTGCGGCGAGGATGATCGAGTTGAAGGTGCTAACGAAGGTTTCGATGATGATTGGAGTATCAGAGCCTCGATGGGTCTTGATCGCACTCTCGACGACGAGGTAATTTCAAAGTTTTTTGGTCTGTTAACGAAATGCTTTACTCATATTAGCTAGTTTTAATTAGGGAACATTGTTGGTCATTCTCTCTTGAATTGATTAGTTTCATATCGTAAGCTCTAAGAAATGGAAGAGCATTGAATTCGATTATACAAACATGTTGGTGTTTGAACCTGTAACTTAGGGAGTTTTGTACTTGAATCGTCAACATTCTTTAATTTTTGAAGGTTTCTGGCGTGCAATGTTAGGTTATTTGGAGCACATAACGTAATTGTTGCTTTGCTTTTCTTTTTGGTTAATGGAACTTTTGTGGTAGGCAATTATGAATCCATTGAAACTTTTCCATAAGGCTCGAAATTTGTTCTTGTTTCTTATTGCAGGAAGAGGAAGATGAGTTTGATAAAGTTGCACTAGGGAAAGAGAGTGGCAGTGAAGGCTTGTCTGTTATGAATGATGACCTTTCCAAATCGTGTGGCGGGCGGATTCGGGATCCTCGTGCTAATTATGTGGCTGCTAAAATTAGGCTGATGGAAGATGAAATCGAGGCCAAAAAACTTAGCGCTTCTGGCGATCATTCCTCGAGAAGTAAAGACCCACCACACTCAGATGAATCATCCAAAGCTGTTCCACCGAAACCTATACTCAAAAGGAAGGAGACCAGTTCAGATTCAGAAGCAAGGTCGAGTAAACGAGTCAGGTTTGATTTTGTATCTGAAGAAACATCGAAGAAGCCTGAAGATACTTGTTCAGCTTCTGCTTCCTCAAAAAGCGAATCTCTTCAGGGTAAAGCTGATCCTCGGGTACCAGATTACTTGCAAAATCCTTCAAAGTACACTTGTTACAGCTTTGATCCATCTTGTGAATCGAATGAGAAGTCCCCAACAGCAGAGTACATGGACATTCCCAAGGTTGTTGAAGGAATGACAACTCTAGAGTCAGAATCATTCAAGAAAGTCTCCTTTATTCCGCAGAAGAAGACGAATGACCTAAAAGAAGACAGTAGTAACTGTAGTGAGACGAAGCCTATAGTAGCTGAACAGGGGGCAGAAGATGAGAGACCAAATGCAACAGCAGATGGGGATACTGAGATAGAAGAATCAGAGAGCTGCACCAGTTTCCAAAGGAACGGTCGTCAATACCGTGCCAAGCAAAGTTTAGATGAAAAAGACGTCTGATCTTTCGGTTTGGGTTAGAATTTATCCCAAAAATGTAGCACGCTCGGAGAATTTCATGTGATAAATGAGATGGAGCTACGCGGAGATGAAGTTGGGATCCATGAGAAGCAAACTTTTACCCAATTTCATTTTCTAGCATCATATGTAAGGTAAATTTCTAAGTCCTTAACTTCTTTTTACCCAATTTAGCGACTATATACAACAAAAGCAACATATTGAAAACAGACTCGAAATAGTTTGGCTTTGAGACTGGTTGTTAGAATATGCTTTGCCTTTGAGACTGGTTGATAGAATACGTCACCAGAGATGTTACCACAAATTTAGTTTCAACACTAGCGAAGCAGTACAGGATCGAAGAAAGCAAAGAAAACTTTAATCTACTTGTGGATGAGGGACTGCTTGATCGCGAACAAGAGCTTCCTTTTTATGACACAAGGAAAATAAAGAATTGTGAATGAAAGAAAGTCCATTGAGGCTGAGAAAGAAGGTACAGTCTTCATATTTTCTTTCGAGTTTCGATACATCTTAAAAAAGAATTTTTAATCCTTTTGACGGATGATAAACCAAATCATGGGTTCCATTTTCAAAGATTTTGCTTAAGAACTTGACAAAAAAAATACTCTTGTTGAGCCTGAAAAAGGCTTTTAGGTACATATGTGAACATAACTCGAAGTACATTTATCATTTTGTGAAACTTCTTAAAGAGCACTTCATGGCTTAGTTAAAACTTGGATAGAGTATAGTGCAGATCAATAAATCGATCTTGTTGAGTTTTTTTTCTATCGCAAATCCAATATTTTAGTCTTTTTAGCCCAATTTATGTTTAGTTTAGGCGGGTGACTTTGGTCGGATTTTTCATATTATTAAACTAATTCAAGTTGAAGATGAAGACGACTTCAAGTTGATAAAATTCTTGTTCCTAATTAAGAAATGACTTTCATCACTGATATTTACTTGGAAAATCCTTTTCTTTTTCCTTGGTATTTCTAGGCAATAACCCTCATAGTTCCCCACTTCGTAAAGTCATAATTTATGGTTTTAGTTGGAAGGTCAAAAATTATTTTGGAAATCTTAGTCTATAAAATGTTGACAACAAAAAAGAGCTTGATTTTTAATAAAAAAAAAAAAACTATATCAAAGTATATATCACTGCAACAAATTATTAGATATTTTGGAAAAAAAACTAAAAAATGGAATAATGATGTAAATGATAATTTCATAACATGTAGTTTGTACTTCTACAATTAATCCAATAAATTATCAATATAGAAGATTTAACATTTTACGATATTATCAGTGAGAGATGTGTTTTAAAAGTATTTTACAAAAATATTATGATTATGGAGAATAGTGATTAGTG